AAAAAATTTTTTTTTTTTTTTTTTAATTTAAACAAATACTATTAGCTAAACTTTTATTATTTTTTTTTTTTTTTTTTTTTTTTTTTTTTTTACCTCTCTTTGCTATTCTGAAGGTCCTTAGATACCTTAGGATCTGTCACATTTTTTAAGGTCAGAGTTATCATTCAGCAGAGATCAATAGAAGGCTGCAAGCCTCTGTATATTACTGAACTCATAAGATAGTTCATGCTTCATTAAGTTTATCATATAATATCCTAGGTTTCTGGTCCTGCAGTATAAGATCTATATTCTCTAGGTCTGCAGTTCCCTAATTTTACATGACCTACAAGCCAGATCATTCTTTTATTTTATTAGTACTTAAGCTGGGTTTCCTCTATGTTAATGTTATTTGTTAATAAATTTGCCTTATCTGATTATCTCTGATACTGTGGATATGGATAAAGAGACAAAGTTACGAGAAGTTGGTTAATGAGAGAAAAATATTAAGAGCTATGATAGAAAATTTAAAAGAACGAATAAGAGAATTAAGAAGTAACAGGGAAATAAGTAGTAATAAGAGCAATAATAGCAGCCGCTGGTTTTTCTTTTAGCTCAAGACTTAAATACATTTTTTTAATATTAAAAATATTTTATTTGTAAAAAAAAAAATTTTTAAATAATTATTAAGAAAGAGTCTTGTGTTGATTTCATACGTTACAAGTTGGAGATGGTAAAGAGTTGTCAGTTATCCATGGTATGCCATAACTAGTGATGCAGTAGAATCGTCTCAATTGCCGTAACTAATTACAACATAAGTTTGGCTAAAGATTATGTTACGGCAATCATTGGGACGGTTACACTGCATCACTAGCCAATAACTGATACTACAAAAATACGTACGATACAATAAATATTAAATTTGATTGAATCTAATTGAGGGTGTTCTCAAGCACCTAAATCAGACCCACCTACATCGCCACAAAATCAGTTACGTACGGAATTTTAAGTTTATTTCCGACAAATATAACAATTTGATGATTAATTAAATGTAAATGAATATGACTATATTTTAACTTTGGGAGGTAAATTCTACGACGCATGATCCTTCGGATCTAGATCGCCCGGAAAAAAATTGCTTGATTAATCTAATCATTATCAGATCTGCCACATAAAGCAAGTCTACGTATTTGACTGCAAGTTTCAAAAAAAAAAAAAAAAAAAAACAAAAAAAAAAAAAAAACTGAATATATTTTTCATTTTCTTGAGGCGAATTAACCTTCTTTTAAATTTTGAGATCGCTCCTATAAAACGTGAAAGTTGACGATCTGGGAACCACAAGTTCCCCGTAACATATGAATTTTGATAACTCTACTGATAAAGAATAAAAACCCTTTGTAGCATTCTTTGCACTTTTTATCGCGGAGTCATATATGATAAGGACAAGGTTTATATAACATTTCTAATAAAATCGACCGTGAGATGACGTAATCGAGAGCTCTAATTAGACTAATTCTAATTACTCGGTCCAAATCTTTCCACACCTCGATCGTATTGCTTCCCAATATTAGGGCTTAGTATATGAATATTTCGCAATTTATAAATCCAATTTTAATGATTTTGATACTCTATAACCTTTATTAAAAGTCTAAGAAAGATTTACTTAGTAAACAAAACATTTCACCTCTTAATATTCAGGTATATGGGTGTCATAATTAAAAGGGCCTATTTTTACATTTTTTTCGAAAAATGAGTTTTTATTAGATTCATATAAATTTTGACATTATTGACATTTTTCAATTATAAATGAAAGTCGATTTGCATAATAAAAAATTAAGATACTGTAATGTAATTTTATTTGAATGATGAATACAGTATATAAATTAATAAAAAATATTATACAAAATACTTTATAAACATAAATTACATAAATTGGAATAGGATTTATACATTCTTGAACTAACGTTTATGGATTTTAATAAATGCAGAAACATAGAGAAAGGCTGTAAGAACTCTAAAAAAAGAATATCTAAGGATTAAACCAAAATCACTCACTGGTTTTCGTTGCCTTAGTACCATGTTACGTGACGCTAGAACGTCTTTAGATGATCGAACTCGCATTTGTTTGTTGTATCGTTGAATGCACGCGATTAAATCTTTATTTTCGGAATTAATTAATTCCTTGGTTAACAGATCGGCTCTTGTATCGCGTTATTTGCACCTTTAAAAAAATACATATATATACTGTATAAATATAAAATAAATAACTACTAGAATATTAGGGTTAATAAGATTTTTCATAAAGTAAGTTTTAATAAATGCAAACCTAATCCTAATATTGGATTTATAGCATGAGCGGCGTCACCTAACAAAATGATTCTATCATCTTTCCAGGGTGGTACAGATAATGGATCAATATCACGAAGTTGACGACGTCGTGGAGGATTATAGTTTCTAGATGAATCCTTCTCTTCTGGATCAGAAAGTGAAACCAAAGAATATAATTCAATCATCACATCAGTTAATTTACAAGGAGAACATAATTGTTTAATTCTTGAAATTGTATGTTTAATAACAGATTCAAGATTATCATCGTTAACTAAAATATTTTTATCTTCAGTATCAAGGATTGTAGGGTAATTATATGAAAATGTGAATCTATAACTTGGATTATCAGATAGATCGATTGGTACTAATCGTATCAAAGAAAAAATCCAATCTCCATTTCGACCAAGTGATTCTTGCACTAATGCATTTGAATAAAATTTCATAAATTTATCGGCTAGGTCTTTTGGTATAGAAATATCTCTATCGACGCTGGTTACTCCAAAGTCAAAGATTTTCAAGTCAGGAGACTTTTGTTTTCGAACTATAAATTAAAAAAATAATAAATAAAAATAAAATAAGTAATATGATTGGTTTTTTTTTATTGTGCAAATATAGTAAATAAAATTTATTATATAACTTACTTGGTGAATTAATTTCATCAGCGCCAAATAATAAATCTCGTTCCATCCTCGAATAAAGCCCAAACACCATTTTCACATTCTTCATATCCAATACATTTTTTACTCCATTGAACATCAACACTTTCCAATAAAACGTCACGTAATCTTACGATAAGTAACTATACCAGCATAATCATGTTTAAGAGGTTCTATTTCATGAATACTTTATATTTTATATGGTGCATGTAGCCTAGAACCGGAGTCACGTGATTTTATACATAAAATTGTTTATAATTAATGAATATAGATATAATATTTAAAAATCTTTTTGTAAATTCATTTAAATATACTGGTTCCAAATTTATTTACAAAACAATTCAAAATTTGGCTACTATATTTAATATAGTAATTTGCCAAACATTCAACGATCTGCTAGTTATCATTATTAAAAAAATTGCTACATCCGGCTGAGTTTCCTAAGCTCTGGTTAAAATGAACACCGCCGGAGAAAAAGCAGATTCCGGCACTCGGAAATTTTGTGCACTGATAAGCACTGTCTGCTATGATCTTAATTACAACAGATTATATAACGATAGAGGTTAGTTAAAAAATAACGACAATTGCTTTATCAGTTATCTGCATCCCTGCAGTTTACGTAACAGCAGGGACAGTGCCCACTATGTAGAATGTAGTTTAACGTTACACGACTTATAAAAAAATTTTTATATTATTTTAAAGTACTTCGAATATCTTGTATTACTCACTTGTGTTATAAGATAATCACCAATAAGTTACTAAGCAAACTTGAAGCTTTCATAGCGTAAAAAACAATATCCTCTGAATCCCACTGCCTTAAGTTTCTGCTTCAAATAAAAGATAGTAAGAAATACATAGAACGTTAAATGATTAGTTTTATAAAATTTCACTAGTTGAGTAGCGAAAAGCAGTAAGAAGTCAAAGCTAAAGGTTTGGTAAAGAATCGTAGAGTGAAGGTACTGTGCTTTTAATACTTGTTTTATGAAATATGTGAAAAATTTAGTTATATTAGTTATTTATAAGCGATAAATTAACAATTAAATATGCCATCTTTGATCTTAAAAAAAGTTTTATATAAATTATTTAATATATAATGTTCTTTTATACTAGGTATTCGATAAAATA